ATATTTTGAGTAGCATCTGCAAAACCAGGATCAAATGGTGCTAATTAAAATTTTGTCCAAACAATTCCAATACCATAACAAAAAAAAATTCATTTTAAAATTTTGGAGTACTATCAAATAATTATTTAACATTAAGTTACATGAATGCTAGAGTCCCAATCAGTCTAAATAAAACCCAAAATTGAAAATGCACTATGAGTAAAACAGTAAAAAAAAATTGAACAAAGTTCAATTTTATTATTACTAACAAAAGTACAGGAATCTTCAATATACATTATGGATGATTTCGGCATATTACAGATATCCTTCTATCCCTCGTAACAACATTATTTTTGAACAAAGACTTATCACTTCCTAATATTTCATGAGCAAAATCATAGCGAGCTACATTCCTGTAAAGATCAGTATCAATTATTACTTAAAATTGCATTCATTTGGAATAGTTATTTTGATAAATGATATTATAATTTACCTCATTATGTATAGTGATCTTCTTTCAAGATATACATTCACTGCTAGTACTTTTGTTTCATCATCTGCAGTCATGTTAGAATCTTCACTCACTGCCCTAGTCAGACGCATAACGCTATTTGAAATCAAACTCAATCCAGCAATTGTATGGCCACAAAACTATGACAGCCAAATGTTTTTTTTTAACAGAATTATAATAAATACCAAGTGAATAATTATATTAGAAAATATTGTAAAGAAAAGTTAGTATTGCATACAATAACAAAAAAATCAATAGAAATTTTTTTTAACTTTCTCAAAAAAATAAATGGCATTAACTATTGTACATGGTGAAGCTGTTTTATAGCAATGTTAATATACATTATTATTAAATTAAATTTAATGTTAAAGCTTATAGAAATAAACAATTATAAAAATGTTATATTTTTAAATCAATTAAAATCATTGGTACTCTAATGTACCTAAACGTACTCTAATGCTATCAACATGAGGATTAATTTTCCCATCTTTGCTCAAATCTAAAACATGTACATGCTCCAAGACATTTTCCACAGACTTCTTATCAAATGCTACATCTCTCACTCGTTGCAATATTTTGTCATTATCACTGTTCCATTTTTTGTGTTCTATTTCACGAAAACCATGTATAGCCTAAAAAAAAGTATAGTTTAATAAATTTGTGAAAATAAACAACATAAAAGTGTTATGTTGACCTTTGGTAATCTTAATGGTCTCTCACTCAAAAACTATATCTATTATTTTATATTTATAATTAACATGACATTTAAGAATTTATAACAATAAAGTGTTAAAAATAAAGGTTTTTTTTAAAAGAAATCATTTAAGTGATTACAGCTCACTGTACTTGACTATAATATTTGTACTATATATATATATATTTATTCAAATACTAATAATATATGAACTAGTTTGCCTAAATTGCAGATATTTGATAAATATAATTTTAAAAATCTGAATAAAGACTTTTGGAATACTAAGGCAATTTAAAAAATCTAATATTTGTAAAAAAAAAATTAGTAAATGACAAGTACACCCAGGCCTCGCTATACGGCCCTCTTTAATTGAGGTAGGTTTTCGATATATGGCCTAAAATGTTTTGCTATAACGGCTTTTTTTTCTCTATGTCGTTATATTGCGCAATCACGGTTTTGAAGATTTAAACAAATCTGATGTGCTGGATCTACTTGCAGCTAATAGGGAACCCCTTTCATATGAGGAACTCATTCAGTTGCAAGCAGAGCCGGCAATTGATGAAGATACAGAACCTGTTGTATCCAAACAGCTAACATCAAAAATCATGTCGAGCGCTTTTTCATATTTTGAACAAGGAAATAAATCACTAAAGGAAGAAATAGAGAAGAAGGCAAGACAAACAACTTTAGACAAATTTTTCAAACCACCAGCGCAAAATGATGGTGACAGTGATCTGTAGGTTTTAGTTGTTTCATTTTTATTTGAAAATTATGTAATGTTTTTGAAGTTTCTTATTTTATGTAAAATTGATGTTCTTGTTAAATATGTTTATAATTTTAACAAAATAAAAAAACAAAATGCATTTTGAATGATAAACCATATTATATATTTATTAAATTTGGAACCGATCCCATTGAATTTAGAATAATTGTTTCGTTATACGGCTTTTTGCTTTATGGCCAAGTCTCGTGGAACGTATCTAGGCCGTAAAGCGAGGCCCCAGTGTATTGGTCTATTATATATTCACATTGTCCCAATGATCAAATTCATATCTTCGTTTCTTCAATAGAGGTTCCAATTCGTTCATAAGATTTTCTTCTTCTTGAGGTGTAACAAATTCTTTTAGTACAATCATATTTGAAATCATCGAATGCAATAAATCAATTTTATCTTCTTCAAAATAATATAGTTCCATATATTCCGGTAATTTGATGTCATGCTTATCTAGAACTGTAAAAGTTTGTTAACTTTACTAATTTTAACTTAAATGAATATATTTGAATTTCATCAATACCTTGCTTATTTGGTTGAGACTTTTTGTTGATTATGGATAAATTTCGACAATTGTAAGTGGTAAATATTTTATGAGTTACGCTAACAGTTTTCCGTACTACTTGATTTATAATCATTTGCATAACCAACAAATAACACTTTTCAATCGAAAAAAACAGCTGACTTTTAAAGCAAATGACAAATCCAAATATACAAGAGTAAATATGTCTGCGTCCTAATTCCGACAGATGGTGACACCAAAGGTTTGCGACTTTGCGACCGAGACATACCGAAACAATCATAAGGGGGCGTCCATTAATCACGTGAGGTTTTTAGGGGGGGGGGGGGTGTTGACAAAAAATCACGAAATATCACGTGGGGGAGGGAGAGGTATAACAAGATATCACGTGTATTTATTTTTTTTTACTATTATTTATGAAAAAGTTCAAACATTTAAAAAAAAATCAAAAATTTTACAGTTTTTTCACGTAACTAAAAATACACGTAATGTTTGGTGGGGGAGGGGGGGGGTTAATTTTGAATATCACCAAATATCACCAAGATGGAGGGGGGGTCTAAAAATCCTTAAAAGCTCGCTCACGTTAATAGACGCCCCCTAAGACAATAATAAAACTAATGGTGGTGGGCCTAGACAATTAGAATACGATGTATTTGGATGTATTCATGGTTTGGTGGTGGGGCGGTGGCATCGTGCCTTAAGGCAAATTGCTGGTACTTTCCGTACCGTAATTTAATTTTTTTAAAAGCTCAGAAAAGAAAAAAATAACATTTTGAAAAGATTTGAAAAAAAAATGAATGTATTGAAAAATGTGCCTTTTTTGAATAGACTGATTATTTTTTAAACTTAAGCCCTGTTCACACGCCGCTTGCTTTCTGGGTTTGATAGCATGCTTGATTTTGTCGCGGTTGTCGGCGCTAGATTTCATAATATGTTTTCCAGCCGTTTAATTGCTACACACGATGCAAGAAAGATTGCATGCCATGAGTGAGATTTGTTTTAGCTTGCTTTGCTACCTTACCTAATATGATAAACCGCATCAGAAAGTACTACTTCCCTATTGGTTGAAACGAACGAATCCATTCACAACTAGTGGGGCGCATGGCATCGTGCCTTAAGGCAAATTGCTGCAACTTCCCGTACTAATAATTATTTTTTTTTTAAAAAAAGATTAACATTTTTGAAACAAAATTACTTTGAAAAAATTAGATTTTTGAGAAACTATAAAATTTTGACAAAAATTTACCTTTTTTGAAAAAAAGACTTTGAAAAAAAAATGTTTTCCTTATTTTGAAATATTTTGAAAATTCTGAACGTTTTTTCAAAGCATTGGTACTGCTTTAACTGCATAGAGACGAAATCTATGTCTAAAGTCTAACGGATAAACATTGGTATGGAACCGATAGAAATGTAAACAAAAATTATACTTACTGTTAAAATCTCAATCTAAAATAATTTGATGTGCATATGTCTTAATGATCATTTTTGACCGCCAAATGGCATTTTTTTTACTTTTTTCACTAGATCTCCGAAACCGCTAGACCTGCCTTCATGAAAATTTGACCAATTATTCATCTTGTCAATACAAGTAAAATGTTATTTGATTTATTAAAATCGGACGCTCCGTTCTCTTAAAAACTGAGTTACCGTTTTTGGCACTTTTTGTCCCGTATCTTCGGAACGGCTAGACCTGCCTTCGCCAAAAACTAATCAGCACGTCTCCTTATAAATATGAATTGAATGTTTTTTTGAATTACTTAAATCGATTGATCGGTGTTTCCGAAATCGTCGACGAAAATTTGTTTCCGCACACACACATACATACACACACACATACATCCATTTTTTCCGCTTTTCCATACATCCATATAATTAAACCGCTTTTCATAGGCCTCTAATATTTTACCACAATCAGTTTGGGCATCAAATCTACCATTGTGCCAAGTTTCATCAAAATCCGAGACGAGCAACGCGCGGGTTCTCCTTTTAAGGTATGCCAAAATGTTCAGAAACCTCTAAAACGTAAAGATATATAAAAATTTTTATTTTCAATTTTTTGCGATTACTATAGTAATCGTAAGGGTAAGTTAGATATAACTTACCCTACGGGAAGTTAAAAATTGCCCAAATCACACGAGGATTGTTTCGTTGCTTTTCTGCCTGCAGACTAAAAAAACAACAAAACAAGAGTCGTGTGAACAAGATTTTAGAAATTGTTTGAAAACTAATAATTCTTAAATTTCTTTTGTTTTAAATTTTGAATTTTCTTGAAAGGTTTTGATATACATTATGTAGGTTGATTCAAATTACAAAATATCTGATCTTCGGCCGACGAATGGCATTTTTTATACTTTTTTTGGGTCTCCAAAACCGCTGGACCTGCCTTTGCAAAAACTTGATCAATTTTTTTATTACATCAATACAAGTGGAATGTTTTTTGAATCATTCAAATCGAATGTTTTGTAACCTCACAAACCTAATTTTCATTTTCTGTACTCTTTGCTCCGTATCTCCAAAACGGCTGGACCTGTCTTTGCTAAAAACTAATTAGCACGCCTCTTTATCAATAGGAATCGAATGTTTTTGAATCATTTAACTTGGTTGAGCGATGCTCTCAAAAACGCCGACTACATACACACATACATTTTTTCTAATGTATGCCAAAATGTTCAAAAACCTCTAAAACATAAAGATATGCAAAACTAGTTGATATTGGTATTTAGCCTTGAGGCAAGTTACATGAACTTCCCGATATGAGTAAAGAATCGACTTAATCAATAAAATATAAATTAATTTATGAGTAATTTAAAGTATTCCGAGTGGATTTATTACACTTCATTGAAAACTATCGAACACTCTATACGAAGTAAATCGTCTAATTTTAATTTTAACAAATGTCAAAAAACTACTCATTTTCTCAAACTTTGATGAATTTTCAAAATTAAACTACTTGTCGTAAGGCCGTAATATTTCAGTGAGTTCTATAATACCATGATATATATCGCTAAAAAAAGTTCGATAAAAATCGGCTTCAAAATTTTTTCAACAGTTAGTTACAAGAAAACGGCTCGGTAGATTTTCACCTAAAACTAATCAGTATCATTCCCATCTAATATCTTTCGAACAGTTTTTGATTTTTTAAAATCGATTCGGTGGCATGAGCTTAGATGGGACGAAAAGTTTAACACTTTTTTTAATTTACAAAGAAACGGTTTGGCAGATCGTCTCACAAAACAGGCAAACGATAGTGCTCATTGAGATACATCAAATGGTTTTTAAATTTCTAAAATCGGTTCAGGCGGTTTTGAGAAAACGTCGATCAAATGTCTAATTTTGACAAATGCCAAAAAAACGATACTAATTTTTGCAAACTTTGAAGAATTTTTAAAATTAAACGACTTATCGTAAGACCGTAATATTTTAGTATGATCTAGAAGACCATGATATCTATCAACAAAAAAAAATCATGAAAATCGTCGAATTTTTTTTTTTAACACTTCATTCCAAGAAAAAGGCCCGGCCGATCTTTACCAAAAACTAATCAGGTCGATTCCCAACCAATATCTTTCGAACGATTTTTGAATTTTCAAAATCGATTCAGAACTGCGGGCTAAAACGTGGACGAAAAATTTTTCACTTTTCTGCTATTTACAAAGAAACGGCTTGACTGATCGTTGCGCAAAATTGATAAACGCTAGTCCTCATCGAGATACATCGAATGGCTTTTAAATTTTTGAAATCGCTCCAGCCGTTTTTGAGAAAACGTCGATTTTCGGAAAAAAATCTGTTCACACACACACACACATACTTTTTCCAAATTTGGTCTCATTCGATTCAGAATGGCTTGAAACGTCGAGATAACATAAAATTAGCGAATCGGATTTTTTTTATGAAAACATAAACTCCTCCTTCGGGAAGTTAAAAATTTATTATCGATTTTTTGACGATTAGTACAACTTACTCTACGGAAAGTTAATAAATTCAATAGATAAAAGAAATATAATAATCTAATATATAAGAAGATAATAAAAATGATTTGCAATATAAAAGATAAAAATGGGATTTGTGACCACATTCACGATCACATCAGTGACTTAATACTCCACTTTACACCGAAACTTGCTCTTTGAAACATACTTTCATACATTCCTAACCTGCTTTATTCGATTTGTTATCCCGTTTAATACGCCAAATCAAGAAACATTGACCTTTCAAAAAAAAATTTCGATGAAAAATCACAAAAAGCAAATCAAAATCAATTTGCTGTTAATCTTCACTTACAATTACGAATTGAGAAACCATTTTAGAAATTTTAAAAGAAGAATTTTGGGGATTAAAAAGTAACTAATCATGGAAAAACAGATTGGGAAATTTACAAAAAAAAATGCAAAATTTTTGATAAATTGGAAAAAGTTTTAGTTGAAAATGAACTCATTTAGCATGATCTTCAAAGCTGGCCCAAATCGACTCCATAATAAGCGAAAAGACCGTAAAGTTCAAATGGATGGATAAATCAACGTACCATAAAATTAGGACATAATACAAAGTAATAAGTATTAATTCTATTGACTTTGTCCTGCATATTGATAAATATAATATATAAAATATAATTATGACATCGTTGTATGCATTAGTATTTACTGTAATACTTTTTTAGTAACGTGAAAATAATAAAAAATATAACTAATTAAACGGTATAGTATTCTTTTGATAGAATCGTTACAGACCTTATCCTGAGCGTAAATTGGGCATTTAAATTGATTTGGCAAAAAAATACGAAATATTACGTGAGGGAAAAGGGGATCAGTAAGATATCAAGTGTATCTATTATTTACTTACATTTAAAAAAAATCTTAAAATTTAACGTTTTTTCTTGGTACTAAAAATACACATGATGTTAAGTGAGAAAAGAAGAATGAATTTAAATATTACCACGTATCACCAATGGGGTAAGAGAGGTTAAAATCCTTAAATTCTTTAAAAATCGTTCACGTGATTCATGACGCCTCCTTTTGTGTCATATCTTGGGCGTAGATTGGGCATGTTTGCACGCAGAGGAATGCAAGCTTGAGGATTTTCTATATTAACGCTCACATTTCTTGATGGGTTACAATTACAAAATCTCTATTAACCGGACTCAATAAAAATGAAAAAAATACTGGCGCGTTTACCGTTCAGAAGAAGCGAGGTGTGTATTTTAGCCCATGAAATATGAGATTACTAGCCGTAACTCTGCCCATCAAGAAAAGCGAGTGTTGACATGGAAAATCCCCCAGCTTGCATTCCTTTTTGTGTAGACACATGCCCAATCTAAGGCCTAAGGATATGACACGTGTCCTAGGTTTGTCCTATCGAAGGATCCGTTCTAGTTATGAAATTGAAATCGACTTTTAATTCATACAGTATAATTTTAATTAGAATATAATTTTTTGATTCATAAAATTTATTTATAAGTGACGAAAACGTATTCATTAAACTAAAAATGATTTTATATAACGATTTTGTTTATAATAAATAACATAAGTTTATGATAAAGTAGGCGTCGGAGTATATTCATTGTACTGAAGGTCAACTATATATATATATATATATATATATATATATATATATATATGTGTGTATATTGCCTAACTATATGTAAATGGCATTTTACCAAGACCAAAGAAAATATTTTTTCTGTTTTTTTACTAAAAACTAATAAAAGCGTCTAATGATATCTTTCAAATGAACTCATAATAACCGTAATTGAATTTTAATCTGTAATTGTATTAATTAATTCATAAATATAGTTCATTTTATTTCGTATTCTAAAAGTATACTTTATTTAATAACGAAATATATACGGTGTATATGAAAAGAGTTCGGGTTATTATTCCAAACTTTAATGAATTTTATAATTGAATTGGTGTATATGAAACCACAATTCAAAATGTCTGGATCTTGTGAAAATGAAATTAGCAGAATATATTTTACTTTTATAAAGTATATTAATAAATCACAGAAACCAGGTAGTCTCATCAACTACATAAGTGAGATTCAGAATTTTATCTAGAATTAAAAATAAATCTGAATCATTATCGATATTCATAAAAAAAATTTGAAAATTAAAAAAAATGATTTTGAAATTTTAAATTAAAAAAGCACAAGCAAATTATTTTTTGAATCAATAAAATCGGATGCTTTGTTCTCTCAGAAAACTACAATTTTTTGCGCATTTAGCTACGTGTCTTCGAAACGACTGGACCTGTCTTTGCCAAAAACTAATCACTACTTCTCCCGATCATTACGCATTGAATGTTAAATCATTCAATTTAAATGGTCTATTATCTCAAAAACTTAATTTATATTTTGTGCACTTTTTGCTCCGTATCACTGAAACCGCCGAACCCGCCTTGGCCAAAAACTAATAAGTATATCGTATATCTCCCAATCAGTTGGAATTAAATGTTTTTTGAATTATTCAAATCGGTTAATTCGTGTGTCCAAAATTATAATCGAAAAATTGTATCCATACATACACACGCATCCATTTTTTAAGGTATGCCAAAATGTTCAGAAACCTTCAAAACGTGAAGATATGCAAAAATTATCATTGTCTATTTTTGAACGATTACTATAACTTATTCTACGGGAAGTTAAAAATATATTTCCAGCTGATTTAACATTCCTCATCACAATTTTTATTTTATAAAAACATTTTGCAGATTTATTTATGGCTATTATGTTTTCAAATTATTCTTAAAATATTCTGAATTAACAACAAATTGAAAATATTCTAAAAGTCAAGCTATTAAAATACACATTAAGGTATTACATTTTTAGCGAGGTTTCTAAGCAAATTAAAACGATTATTTAAGTATATAATAATAAATTACGTCATTGAAAAAAATAAAATGTGGGTGTACCTAACATGTTCTAATCTATAAGTAATTTCCCAAAAAGTGCACTTGTCACAGTCTTGAAACGACCGCTCACGATACAATACAAATATTTAACCGATCATTTTATTATTTGTTTAGAAGTAATTTGTGTTGATAGTGATCAAAAGACAACGTTGGACGCGGTATGTGATCATATATTAATTTTAGCAAATTAATAACTTAATATGATATTGATAAAAGTAAATTTTTAAAAAATTACTAAAAGCATTAAAAAGCAATAAAGAGTGCAAAATTTGCAAACAATTCAATAAAAGAATATATTGAAAATATGCACTCATTAAATTTTATAATATGCCTTATACAATTTTATGACATTAAATTTTAGTAAGAAGAAAAGAAAATAGTTTTGTATATGTGTGTCTTTTTAGCAAAATTTATATTATATAATATAACCAATAAGTTTTTAATAAAACGACTGCGTTTATAATAAAGAGTATTTATCAAACCTGATTTAAATAAAATGTTTGAATTTAATCACTATACGAAATATCACCAACTATATTTGTCACTGGCTGCACGGTTTATTAAGTTTTAATGGCCCTATAATATTTAAAACACAACAATTTTACTATATATTATATAGTATAAGCTTGCTCAAGTGGTACCCTGATAATATTTGGTCTGATAATTATAAAATACATCATAAGGCACTGTTAAATAGCACTATTTTAAATCAAGAAGCAAACGTTTACAATTGAATAGCTTTCCGACTTTGTAATACAAAAATTATTAAATATTGAGTTTTTTGTATTGAAGTCTCTACTAATCAGTTTTATGCTTTTTATAGCAATAATATGATTCTGATTTATTTTCGTTTCTAATATTTATTTATATTTATTGTTTCAAACTTCGAAGCCCATGTTGTTTAAATCGTTAGTAGTACTGGTTTAATGGAAACCGTTTTATGTTTTTTTTTTTAATATGATATTCTAAAGTTTTTGCTCAAATTTTGAAAGTGGGTGTATAACTTCTTCATAAACAGTTCTATCATCTTTATTCTTAGCACCCAAAGATTTAATAATTTTATAAGAATATTCGTTATTTTTCAAGATTATTATTTTATTTTATGAGTTTTTTTAATAAAGTTGATCGAGTTGAATTTTATTTACTTTTTAAATAGTAGGTATGATTGTAACTATAAGAGGTACGACTAAGGCGAGTAGGCGCCGAAATGAAAGAAAAAAACGTAAAAATACCTATTTTCATAAAATTTCAATAACAGTTAATAATAAGGCAACTAACTAAAGATTTAATAAACGCTTTGAAGTTTTTTTTATTTAATTTTCTTAAAAATAGTACTATTTCCTTAGGGGTACGAATTTGGCAACCTTATCTATATTGTCAAGAAGAAGAATAGAAATCAATTTATTATTATAGTAGATAATACAAAATACAACAAAAAAATACATGTTACATCGTTTATGCTTGCATCGTCGAAATTATATTTTACATAAAAAAAATAAATATTAGGTTGTCAAATATCTCCCTTCCGCTTTTTTGCACTTGGTTTATAATACAAAAAGGCGGAAGGGAGATATTTGACAACCTTATATTTCTGCTCTGATATTTTTGATCCAGTTTTAACTTAATGAATTTGTAAACAAGTTACAACTTTATTTTTTTTAGGCGACAAATTTCATTGAACGTATTATATTTTAGATTTATAGATGTAATATTTTACTTATTAGGCAGTAACCAATTGGCAACTGCAGCACTTTATGAAGCAAATCAAATAATTTTACTATTCATTTTATAAAAGGTTTTTCTGTAAGGTTTGTCTAATAGCATATTATTCGCAAAACAAATAACCGAATGATCTGTTCAATTTTTAAAATATTAATTTGTTAATAACATTATAATTTAACTGTCGCGCGTAAAGTATTTAAACTTGAGCAACATGCATTGAATAGAAATTTTTGTGAAACAATATTTTACATATTCGCTACAAGTACGCAATTTTTGTTAAAATTATTGGTTGATCAAGTATGAACGAACATTAAATACTGCTATTCATTAATATGCAAATATCATGTTTTTTGTGAAATTAGTCTATTATATCAATATGTACATATAATTATATACTATATATATATATATATATATATATATATATATATATATATATATATATATATATATATGGTACCCCGATGTACCCCCTATATAGTAAATATATATATATATATATATATATATATATATATATGTATATATATATAGTAAAGTTATATATAACAGCTTTCCATTGATTGAAAACATAGATTTTTTGCAAAAGGTTTGCAAAAACAAATTAGACATGGTATTTGCATTTGCAAGACAATGAGCAACCAATTTCTGATCCCAAACTTAACAAATGATAAAATAAGTTACTAATTTCTGCGATATCCATTTCATCAAGTAACTAATGTGTGGAATTTACCTAATAAAGAAAGACTATAAGATTATTTAAATATGGTGTTTTACAAGAATATAATTTTTTGTTCCAGATGTTCTTTGCTGCGCTGACCTCGCTCATATGTTTAAGACTAGTTCAAGGTGAGATGCAAATATATATATATATATATATATATATATATATATATATATCCACCCACACCGTCTGTCTACATAATATAGCATACCACTTATTTTAATTACATTGTTTACATACATCAGCATTGATGTGCTGTAGCCTTTTATCAATGATGTCTTTGATCTCTTACACAAATTAAAAATAAAGATTATTATTATTATGTATTATTCTGGAACGAATTAATGTCAAGAAAGTAGTTGTTCTGTTTTCTTTTTCATTTTTTATCGAAATAAATAAAATATCATAATGCAACGTGCATTAATGTTCAAATTTACCAGTAATTACTATTTGTGTAGAGGAATTTTATAAATCAGATAGAATATAACGGTTATAATTTTATGCTTTATCCAGAAATTTATGTTTTTAAAGCTTTTTTGACTGTAGTTTATGAAATTTTTCAATCTTCTTCATTTCTAGTAAATTCGCAGCTGGGCGTTTCTACTAATATGTAATCAAAATTCATTCTTTTTACTGTATTTTGTTAACGATCTTTACACATTGTTTTGTGTAAAATGATCGCACAACCAAGTTTAATAAAAAAATCGATATTCACGATTCGAAGATGTACTTTCGAGTGCAAGGTCAATGTAAAAAATTATAGAAACAAAACACAATATATACAAATACACCTACATAATATAAATGTGTGTATTTATATCATGCAAGGTTAAATTTTTTTCTTAAATTTCCTACTGGTATGTAAATGTATCAATACATATACATAAATAATGTATTGTTTGGATTGCAATTTAATTCAACAATAGGCGATTTACACACCCACGTATGCCCATGTAGAGTAATCAATTATTTGCATGTTGGTTTACATAACTGCTTAAAAAAACAATACAATAAATAAAAATGTAAACGGAACTTGGTTAATTCATTAATATAAATTTATATTTATTACGATAATTGATTTTAGATGTTAAAATATATGTCAGAATTTGGTATTATCAAGAGTCATAAACGTAACAATCAGACGCGTAAATCATGATGTGAATATTAATTCGTTCTTTAATAAATGACACTCTACCCAAAGAAAGGGGCAATGGTTCCTCGCCTTTCCTCGTCTATCATTACCATTACCACTTTTTCCTCTAACACATTTTTTATGTATTTTTTTGTATTTTTATAAATTTATGCTTCCATGCTTCCTGCTTCTTCGCTTTGGCTTTCACTTTCCTGTATTTTTTCTCCTCGCGTAAGTCATCAATGATCTTCATTCTTGCTCATCCCATTCCTTTAATCCTTCTATTTTATTTTCGACTACGTCGTATAGTAGAGGCTATTTTTGCAAAAAGAATCCGATCGAGTTTCCTTTTTTTTCAGGATCGTGCTCAGTAGAGTTTCTTTACCCACTCTTCTCATTTGTTATCTTGTCTGTCCACTTTATCTTCTCCATTCGCCTCAAGCACCATATTTTAAAAATCTTGTTCTTTATTACAATAGTTTATGTTAATATTGAATAAATTTAAAATTATATATTTTTTAAATAGGTGGAATTTTAGATACTCAAGAATCCCATTATCAATATCTAGTTAGTGGATGTACCTATCACACCTGTGGTGTAAATGCGCAATGCACTAGAAGCCATGAGGGGTTACCTGTTTGTTCATGCCTGCCAAATCATAAAGGAGATCCTTTGAGGCAGTGTTTTCGATACGAATGCATAGGTAAAAATAAAATATGTATATATTAAGTGATGCTGTCTCTAATATGCACTTTGTTCAGTGCCATACATTAATAACTTACAGTCTGTGAGTCCTGTAAGTTACAGTACTCTTAAACTCTTTATAAGCAATTCAATGTTATGTGTAAGTATTTAAAAGGCGAAATATACATGTATATATATAATAGCAAATGGAAATTATTTAAATTAAAGCACGATATTTACAGGAAGTGAAGAATGCAGACAAGACCAAGCTTGTATCGACAATAGTTGTGTTAACCCTTGTGTCAATGCCTGTGGTACAAATGCCAATTGCAAAGTACGTGTAATTATATAATATAATTTAACAAATTTTTATTACCAATTTATTAAACATTTCTATTATTATAATAAACATACATATATATTCTCAGAATGGGTTTTGTAATGATTTTTTTTTTCAACCGAACCGGAACAAATAGGACAACCGTTTTTTTAATTTTAGCGTACCAGTAAAAAAAAATTAGCACAACACCACTGGTAACAACCCGCTTAACGCGGGGGTTGAATCTCATCAAAGAGGGTAAACAACGCTAAATGGGCTAACTTATCATGTATATATTGGGGTTCGGAGACGTTGAATTAAAAATTGGTTATGTTTCAAATTTAATAACTGTATTTATTTTATACAAAAGTGATATATACGAATATACTTATAGAAACAAATATTCAAATTCAGTCAGATTGTTCAGTCTATTTTGCGTTTCCAAGTTTTCGCATTTTTTATCAAAAGGGCATCTAGTTTACAATTAATACCCTAACTAGTATTTAAACTCCTTCCAATATTTGAAAAAAAATGTTTCCTAATTTCAGTTACAGTGTTCAAAAATTTATTTACAAATTCCATTCAAACTTCTATTTGCTCTTCTTCAACTACTATTAATATTTTTGTTTTGTTTTTTCTCTTTGCTCAGTTAATTTCTTTAGACTATTATTAGAAAGACTAGCGCTGTTTTTTTTTAAACTTTTTCTTCGACATCTTTTACATGTATCTTATCTAAGCCTTTACATGTATCTTATTAAGCCGGTTTGTTTCGCTAATTCTACTCGCTAATTGTAAGAACTCTCTATTTTTGCCCCGTTGTGATAACTTTACAATGAAAAGTTTTCAAGATAGATGCAAATTATAAAACAAAAAGAAAATTATTTAATTTCGAGATGATTATAATTATTGGGCTAAAAGTAAAATCTACAAATTGCCTCATTCTTACTGAAATAAACGCAAATTAACTGAATAAAAAATTTTTTTTTTACATTTTAGACGGTGGGCCATAATCCGGTTTGCAGTTGTCCTACCGGTTACACGGGAGATCCATTTACACATTGTAGAGTATTTAATCCTGGTAAATAATTAATAATAAAATCACAATTAACTATTGTTTAATAGTTTGCTTGAATTATTGCTAATGAATTATCGCTTTTCATTAAATTATTTAGGTTACAGGAGCATGTGGTTGAATAAAAATTGTTTTAGTAGTGGCGGAGGTATTTCTTATAGAAGATATAACATTCTCAGTATAAGTAAGCTACATTTATGTATAACAATAGGAATTATTAACACCGCTAATATAATATAAATTAACATTAATTGCTAATTTTTACTAAAAAAAAATAGCGATATAATAACCCAGCTATTTGCTACTCATATATTGGCAAGTCACCTATAAAATATTTGTTTCGTTTTATTATTCCGAGCAATTATAAGCTTCAACTCATATCATGAATCGTATGCTTTTTGTGATCAATATAATCTAATAATATCTAAATTGGTTTGAGAGATAGAAATGATAGAAATTATAGTTCCAAAAATAAAACCCATGAAACAATTGAATTTTTTTATTAACCTCATTTTGTAGAAAAATTAAACACCAGATCCCGTTTAGTAAGTTTTTAAAATTCAAAATACTTTGGCATTCCTAAATTTATAATAACAATATGAACATGTAAAGAAAGTAACGCTTATATCTAAAACAAGAAACAGCAGTACATTTCTTTTAAAAAATCATCGCTAGATAAATAAATAAAGATGATTTAAATAATAATGCGTTATCCCAAATGTTAAAAGTGCAATGTGACCATTTCTTATGAAGCGCTTATTGGTAGCTTCCGCAACTAACTAATGAGGTGAATATATAATTATGCAGTTATCACTGCTTTAGTTCAATTATTACGATCAATGTTTTTGTTTCAATTGTATGATTTTATATTATATATTTTATATTATTTGTTTAATTGAATGAATAATTTAGAAACTTGCACACGTTGATAAATATAGGATGCGAGAACAACTAATGTATTGCGCATGGTAAATCTTATCAGGTACCTTCATTATACAACCTATATGCTAACTATACTTACACGTAAAGTGTTTAAAATATTGCTAGATCTTATTACTACATCGTAATAAACTCTACGCAAAAAATTGTTAGCAATAAATGGCTTGAGTTAGCACTTAAGCCACAAATAACTTAAAATACTATTTTGCATGGCTACTTTTTGTTGCTTCATAGTGCAACAAAATTCAACAAAACTCGATTAAAACTTTGATAATAAAAGTTCCATGAAATAACCTTAATATAAAATCAAGTAAAAGCAAATATTCTTTTTCTAACGAATCGTGCTATATATATTTTTTTCTTTAATTCAAATATAACAAATGTATTCTGAGTGGATAATAGATATTAATTTGGAAATATGAACAAAAAACACTTTTTTGCACTAATTTATTAAATAATAATTTTCACAAACGTTCGAGACTAGGTTTGTCTCATCATCAGTGTGCTATAATTTAAAATTTAAAATATGGAAACCTAATGCTAATTAAGCATTATGTGTTATTCGTTACAAGTCGCTTACTGCATATATATATATATATATATATATATATATATACAGTGCTGGATTTACAGTAGGGGCAGTCGGGGCTACTGCCCAGGGCGGCAAATTTTTGGGGGCGGCAAAATTTGAATAATGAGAAAAAATTCTATACCATATAATTAACTCATTTTTTCAATAACACTTTTTATTCAAGAAATATAATTAACAAAACATTATACAAATGTAATGCAAAATTTGGTAATTTGGCAATTTGGCTAATATAAAGATTCGTAATTGAGTTGAAAGTTTAAGAAAAATATGTTCTTCAGATCTCGAGCTCTCTTAAGACGAATTTGTGCACTTCCAAGCTTAGAGCGCCGAAAAAATTAAAATAGTGACGCATGGCATTATGCCTGTTACTGAAACTTTCCGTACTGAAAATTACATTTTATAAAAAACTTTAAAATTTTTTGAAAAATGATAAAAATTGAATTTATAAAACCTATTTCGAATTTTTTTGAAAATTATTAACTCTTATTTATTAAATTTAGTAAAATTAAATTTTATTTGAATGATTCGATTCCTATTGATAGTGAGACATGCTGATTAGTTATTGACCAAGGCAGGTCCAACTGTTTCGAAAATACGGAGCCAAAATAATAATTTAGTTTTTAAAATTCATTAAATTTTACACGTATAGACAAAATGGAGAACTGATTAATTTTGTGGAAGGCAGGTGTAGCGGTTTCAGTGATCCAATAAAAAAAATTAAAAAAGAAACACTTGGCGGTTAAAAGTAATCAATATTCGTTAATTCAGTTTTGAGAAACGAAACCTCCAATATCATTCAGAAATAATTTACATGAATGAAGAACTGCTTAAATTTGTAGGAAGCAGGTCTAGCGGTTTTGGTGATCCAATAAAAAAATTGAAAGAGAAACATTTAGCGGTAAAAAATGATCATTAGACGTATGAATTTTGTTTATATTTCTATGGGTTCTGTAACATTATTTACACGTTATTCTGCGAGGCGGCGCTTGCGCGCTTCTTTATTTTGTCTCTACTCAGCTAAAGCAGAGCGATCACTTTAATTTTTTTTTTTAATTTTCAAGTATCAGCAATTTGCCTTAAGGCACACGTCAAGCACCACTATTTATAGTATGTAATGAGTAATAAATTTTCTGCAGTCAAATAGTTATTTTAATTTAAGAAAAATGATATATAAAAAATATTTTAAGGAAAAATTCAGGGATGGGGCGGCATTTTTGTCATTGCCCCAGGGCGCCAAATTTCTAAATCCGGCCCTGTATATATATATATATATATATATATTAGGGTGGTCCTTAAAATGGTCATTTTCGAATTTCCTTGCTCCCAGGGGCTCAAATGGTTCCAAATAGATAAAAAACAATTCTCTGAAAGTTTTAGCTCTTAATATTAACGTTTAGATAGAGCGCAATTCAATCAAAGTTTGTATGAAAATAGCATAGAAAAAATTTTGAAAATTAAAAAAAAATGTTTTAGATGTAACTTAGCGACAAATGAATGAGTTCTATTCATTCATTTGTTCGCTAAATTACATCTAAAAAACATTTTTAAAATTTTTGAAAATTTTTCCATGCTATTTCCATACAAAACTTTGATTGAATTGCGCTCTATCTAAACGTTAATATTAAGAGCTAAAACTTTCAGAGAATTGTTTTTTATCTATTTGGAACCATTTGAGCCCCTGGGAGCAAGGAAATTCGAAAATGACCATTTTAAGGACCACCCTATATATATATATATATATATATATATATATATATGCAGTAAATGGTTGTCTGCAGGTCCATGGTGTGAGAACACCACAAATCAATTATTCTCATTCCTCCATTGTTTATTATTATCATTATTAACGATTTTATACGTTTTCATGCATTTTCAATTTCAAACTTCTGGTTCCATGCTTCCTGCTCCTGTACTTCGGCTTTCTGTTCCCTGTATTTTTTTCTTCTCATCAATCATCTGCATTTTGCTTCTTCCCAGTCCTTACATAATATATATATATGCACCTATAATGCATATATATATATATGCACCTATAATGGGCATTTTCGAACTTCCTTACTCCCAAGGGCTCAAATGGTTCCAAATTGATAAAAAACAACTCTCTGAAAGTTTTAGCTCTTAATATTGTCTTTCACATAGAGCGCAATTCAAAGTTTTGTATGGAAATAGCATGAAAAATTTTTCAAAAATTCCGCAGAGCGTCGAATTTTCAATAAAAAATGACACAAATTTTCACTTTTAACTCATTTGTTAAACTAAGTTATACCTAAAATTTTCCATGCTATTTCCATATGAAGTTTGATTGAATTAAAAGTGAAAATAACTAAAAGTAGGAGCGCACTATCTAAATGTAGAAGCTAAAACTTTCAGAGAATTGTTTTTTATCAATTTGGAACCAATTGAGCCCTTGAGAGCAAGGAAATTCGAAAATGTCCATATTAAAGACCACCCTAATATATATATATATATATATATATATATATATATATATATATATATATGTGTGTGTGTGTGTATGTGTGTGTGTGTGTTTGTGTAACTAGTCTATACAACGGCATACTAGTTTAATTATCATTGCAGAAGAATTATGTCATCCAAGTCCTTGTGGAGTCAATACAAAATGCACTGTTAGAAATAACGTGCCAACATGTTCCTGTCTGCCAGGTTTCACAAAGGTAGTTTTTAATTTCATTACAATTCATAACAACAATAAAAACCTATATAGTCTCTTTCATTTTGATTCTTTATAAAATTTATTTTTATAATGTAAAATAGGGTAGCCCTCTAACTGGATGTCATCATGAGTGCGAATCTGATTCTGAATGCAGTTCTTCGCAAATTTGTGAAAATTTCAAGTGTACAAGTGCCTGCTCAAAATGTGGAGAAAATGCCATATGCAGTAATGTTGTGAATCACAGAGCCGTGTGTAATTGTCCAACGGTAGTAAAAAGCACATCCTTCAATTTCCTTTTATGATTTTGCCAAATAGGTATTAAGTATTTTCAATACGATTAAATTATGGCGTTGTGACATCATAAATTTGTGAATTAATGTATGATATTACTGACACAATGGAATTCGTCTCAAAATAAACGTTCAGAAATCGAAATTAGTAACAAAAACGCTTCACTTTTCGTAGATCCTTATAATCACAACGGTTACTTATTTCAGAACTACATAGGAGATCCACATCATAAATGTCGCCCGGAATGTTACACAAATTCAGAATGCCCTTATAATAAACCAGTGTGTGTTATGGGAGGTGTTTGCCATAATCCCTGTGAAAATGCATGTGGGGCATACGCCAATTGCGAGTTAAGACAAACTACGCCAGTTTGCAGTTGTCCAAAACATATGACCGGGAATCCTCTAATTGCATGCAGAGTATTTGAAAAACGTAAATACGTTGAACTTGTAAAAAACGACGCTTCACATGTCTTAAAATAATTCCAAGAGTATCCACTACATAATATAAAAAATAATAATTGTTACTAATATGTAAGTCATAATAAAATATTTAAATTTATTTTGCAGGTGATTTATGCGATCCTAATCCTTGTGGTTTAAATGCTGAGTGTAAACCAGGTTTCGACAACATAGGTAATGAGCGCCCGGTTTGTACTTGCCCTAAAGGATATTTTGGCAATGCTCTTCATAAGTGTACCAGAGTAAGTCAGATAATAAAAGACAATTTGTACTCAGTCAAATGTTAAATTAAATTTTTTATTTCGTTTCAGGGCGAATGCTTTAGCGATAGTGAATGCCCCAACCATTTAGCGTGTTCTCAATATAAATGTGTCGATCCATGCATTGGACACCCTTGCGGAATACGTGAGTTGTTTTCATTATATTAGCAGTTTATGCGAGTATTTCGGAAAATTTTATACTAATGATGATATTATACCGTATGAAATAAAAATATTATTGTGTCGCTATAATTTATCTATAAGTTCCTTTATTAGTTTACGTGACATTCAATACAAATTGACTTTTCATTGCATTTGTAGAAGCAATATGCGAGTCTCGTGAGCATAAAGGAGTTTGTACTTGTCCTGAAGGAACCAAAGGCGATGCATTAGTTTCTTGCAGGCAAAGCAGACAATATTACGGAAGAAATTACTTGGCTAGATACTTTTACAAATAATTGTAAAAAATATGTCGAATAATATTTGTTAGAAAACTTTAAAAATATACAAAAACAATGTTTTAATATATCAAAAAAGATTAAATAATACGCTTATTAATGTATATAATTAAGTTCGAGTAGTCATAAACAGTTGTTCCTGTAAAGAGAGGTTATATAATAATAATGTTTATATATATATATATATATATATATATATATAATTTTATAAATTGTTCTAACGTTATAAATAACAAATTGTATTAAATATGAAGACTTTTTCTGAATAAAATATTATTTACAAGAATAAATGATATATTTTCAATTGTATGCATAGTAAATTGACAGAAAAATACTATTCACTGATAAACAACAATGTTAATATTAGTACTATTCATCTAAATAAAAATGAATTTATTAACTTTCCGTACGGTAAGTTATTGAAATCGTCCAAAAATCGAAACCGAACATTTTTTGCATATCTTCACGTTTTGAAGTTTTTGGAACATTTTGGCATATCTTACGAAATAATGGATGTGTGTATATGTACGTATGAATACCATTTTTCGGCCACGTTTTCGGGCGCGCGGTTTAACCGATAAGAATAATTATATATATATATATATATATATATATATGTATATATTACATAATGATTTTCAGCCAGTCATCAAAATAAAAAAACAAATAAATACAAATATTTATTTATAATATACGTTTCGACACGGATTGTGTGTCATCGTTCAGCAATTTTTTGTTAACAGTATATAAAAAAAGAAAAAAAAATTAAGATACTGTTAACAAAGAATTGCTGAATGAATGAATGGTTATAAACAAATATTATATAAAATACAATCGGTAAAAAAATGTATGGCAAAAGAGCTAGGTAACTGGTTAAAAAAATCCATAAATGTTACGTATCTATCAACTTTTTGTAGGATAATCGCTAAAAAATCGAAAATCAAAAGCAAAAATTATTTACCTGCAAATTTGATCTATAAATCCTTATTTATTACTGAGGTTTTTGAGACTTAATATTTTAAAATTTGTCTTCGCTTCACCTATTAAATGGTGGTAAAGAAATGCTTATCGTACAGGTTTGATAAATATATAGAAAAGTCAGAAGCATAAAAAAGGGATATGTAGTTAATCATAATATTTCGTTATCAATAGTAATAAAAAGAAGATTCTGACAAACTAACTATGCATACGATTAATATTAATTGTATGTATTGTGACATCTGTAAATAACATTAATATTATTTTCACAAATTGGTACAGAAAACCTATATGATCAGATAAGCATTTTCACTATGCCTCGAAATACAAAACAAACTAGTTGGTATTGGTATTTTGCCTTGAATACTTTTAATAACTCACAAATTAATTTATTTTTTTATTGATGTGTAAATAATTGACTTAATCAATAAAAAAATAAATTAATTTGTGAGTGATTAAAAGTATTCCAGTATTTATTACATATAATTGAAAACGAACGAACACGGAGTATTTTCTAAAAATAAATTTTCACAAATCAATAATTTTTATAATTCAAACAGTTTCCGTAGAAATTTAATGGTTTAGTACGCTTATTAAGAACTCTATCGTTATAACAAGTAAATCGTCTAATTTTAATATTAACAAACGTCAAAATAATTACTCATTTTCCCAAATTTTGATGCATTTTTAAAATTAAACTATTTGTCGTAAGATCGTAATATTTCAGTAAGTTTTATAAGACCATGATATATATCGCCAAAACAAGTTCCATAAAAATCGGCTTAATTTTTTTTTTCAACAGTTAATTTGGTATATTTTCACCCAAAACTAATCAGTATCATTACCACCCACTAAGCCAAAATCCGTAATATTTATGTAATTTTTACGCAAAAAAGTTACATACTTATGTCATTTTTACGTAAGATTAATGTAAGATATGTGTCATAATTTCGCCTATTTTAAGTAATGTGGATTACGTAATATGGATTACGAAAATATTTCATAATAATTACGTAATTTTTGAAAAAAAAATGACGTGGAGGGGCCCTTTTTTACACACATACATAAATACATACAGGCATATTCGTATATATGAACACACACACACACATACACACATATGCGTATATGTGAACACATACATTCATGAACTTAGGAATGCGTTAGTATGTACATACATATATAATTTATATGTATGTACATACACACACACACACATATATATATATATATATATATATATATATATATATATTATCTGAAAAATAAAAGAAAAAGCACATTTATATGGTATGTTTATTTTTTCGGCATATGTACACAATTTTAACATTAGCAAATCCACAAAGTAATAAATAATAATTCACAATTTTTATAAAATAATGTAATTACATATGACATATTTATCAACATTTTCATGGCAAATGGAAAAATATACAATATGATAAATGATAAGAGAAATGCAAATTTAAAATTGAACTCGAAATAAAAATCATCGAAGTATCCTTTACAAAGACTTCATAAGTTCTTTCACTAAATATTTCATATTATGTATATATTATGTAATTAGGAATTGTATCTTCAGTTAAAACTAAATGTGGTATAAGTCTATGATATGATGTCTTCTCTACAAAAGCATTCTCGATATTTATTTCATGGCCCATTTGTGATGAAGAAATGCATCTCGGATATAAATTATTAGCTTTCGATTTTCACCTGAAATAAAAAACATGGTAATAATTTCTATTTAACTTTTAATATATATGTTTTTTTATATACTTACACAAAGCAAATGGTTTTCAAAAGGCCAAGTGATTCTGTTATAAATAATTTGTCACAGATTTTTTATTAACAATAAAATAATATTTAGAATATGAAGAATAGAATAGAAGTTATTTATATATCTAATTATTATTAGAAAAAAATTTAATAACACGCACGATCAATTTTTAGGTTAATGGAGCATTTTAGAGTAAAGATTCATGTAATTTAAGAGCCTTTAAAATAGATTTATTATAAACATATATTTTCACATATTTAATATCACTTTCACATTTAATCAGCAAATTAAAAATATTAATTTGACACTACAAAACACAACACTTAATTTAAAACACATGGCGAATAGTCCCATCTCCCATAATGCGTTTCAGGATAACTTGTTAACTTGGCATCATAGCCTAGGCTAGCGGCCGGCGGCCGGCGGCCGGCGGCTGCCTCGCAGGATTAACGGTACTTATGTCGCTTAAGGCCGTTCATTGGTTGACAATTTCGCTCATGAAACGAAATATTCCGAAAAATCACGAGCTGTCGATCTTTATGTAATATATATGAAATAAAATCCTCATTTTTCTTACGTAATATTTTTTGCAGGCGAATTACGTAATATTTTTGTAATTATTTCGTAATATCTGATTACGTAATGTAGATTACATATTTCTTACACTAAAATTACGTAATATTACGTAACTGGTTTAGTGGGCAACTAACATCTTTCGAACAGTTTTTGATTTTTTTAAATCTATTCGGTAGTATGAGCTTAAATGTAGACAAAAAGTTTAACACTTTTTTTAAAAAATTACAAAGAAACGGCTTGGCAGATCGTCGCACAAAACTGACAAACGATAGTCCTCATTGGGAAACATCAAATGGGTTTTAAATTTCTGAAATCGGTTCAGGCGTTATTGAGCAAACGTCGATGAAAGATCTAATTTTGACAAATGCTGAAAAAACGATACTATTTTTTGCAAACTTTGACGATTTTTTTAAATTAAACGACTTGTCGTAGGACCGTAATAATTTAGTATAATATACAAGACTATGGTATCTACGTATCTACCATAAAAAAATCATAAAAATCGTCGAGATTTTTTTTAACACTTTATTACAAGAAAACGGCCCGGCCGATCTTTACCAAAAACTAATCAGCACGTTTCCCAACCAATATCTTTCAAACGGTTTTTTATTTTCAAAATTGTTTCAGAATAGCAGGCTAAAACAACGTGGACAAAAGTTTTTTCACTTTTCTGCGATAAACAAAGAAACAAAAATTGATAAACGCTAGTCCTCATCGAGATACATCGAATGGCTTTTAAATTTTTGAAATAGATCCAGCCGTTTTTGAGAAAACGTCGAGTTACGGCAAAAAAATCTGTTCACACACACACACACACACGCACATACTTTTTCCAAATTTAGTCTTATTCGATTCAGAATAGCTTGAAACGTCGAGAAAACATAAAATTAGCGAATCGGATTTTTTGATGAAAACATAAACTTCTCCTTCGGGAAGTTAATTAAAACAATCATTTCTTTAATAGACCACGCAATCATTTTATCTTATTCTTTTTTTATAGCAGAACTTAATATTAATAACCAATTTTGAATAGCAACCGATTTTAATTTTAACTACAATACGCGCGCTTCCATACACTGTTGGCAAGCTTGCAAAATGACAAATGTCTACCATCATCATCTATGAAAATCCTCATGTGCCTTCTATGCCCTGTCATAAATGAAGTTCAATATGAAGGTTATATACACGCGGTCCCATTTACACTTTTTGGCGTAATGTAAATACACCATTTGACAAAGTTTACCACTAACAGCTAAGATTTTGGGTTCGATTATATAACACGATTTTTCTTTGTTAATTTTGAAATACGAATTAGACTTTTACTGCAGTATGGCTAAATCATTAAGAAGTAAGTGGCGACGAAATGTCGAGCAGTGAAACGTGAAAGATATCAAGTCAAAGAACTTGAGCGCTTGAAGAAACTTTAGGATAGTTGAAAACAGCAACCCATCAGATGTTCAAATGGAACCTGTTGCAGATATTGTACTATAACAAAACATAAAGACAGGTATGGAAATAATATAATTCGACAGATTTCTTAAATGACAGGATGATAAGTCGTAATAATAACTTTTTAACCATCTGTTAAATTATCTTTCCTATTTTTCTTTTCTTTTAAGGTTTTGGTT